CGTTTTGCATAGTAGCTGATAACACAGCAGAGAATCCCCTAGTGCTAGGCAATATGGAAAACGGGGCTTCACAGCTGCTTTTCCATTTCAAAAAAAGTCTTGTCAATTTCAACATTGGGTTTCCCCCCTTTGCCTGTGTTCCTTTCTGCTCCCTTTCATTCAGCCAACTAACGCTAAAGGTAAAGGTAAAGGTTCCCTTGCTCGAAAGCCAGTCGAATCCGACTCTAGGGTTGCGGTGTTCATCTCCGTTTTAAAGCCGAAGAGCCAGCGGTGTCCAAAGACGTTTCCGTGGTCATGTGGCCGGCATGACTAAACACCAAGGTGCACGGAACGCTGTTACCTTTCCACTGAAGTGGTACCTATTTATCTACTTGCAATTTCTTGCTTTCGAACTGCTAGGTTGGCAGGAGCTGGAACTAGAGACGGGAGTTCACTCCGTCATGCGGCACACTCGGGGCTCGAACTGCTGAACTACTGACCTTCCACAGCCTGCAGTTCAGCGTCTTAACCACTTGAGCCACCGCAGCTCCTTATTAACGCTAAAATGCATGTGCAAAACCTGAACCACGAGGAACTAAATGGAAGGCACTTGCTGGAAGCTACTGCACAGTTGCGATAGGGCAATTGTGTAAGTCTTTTTTTAAAAAAAAAACTTTGGACAGCACCCCCCACAAGTCCCAAGTAATGTTCCACCTTGATTTAGAAAAGTGCAGGGCTTTTTTAATTGCAGCTGCAGAATCAATACACTGGAGGTAAAAGAATGGTAAGTAAGGTGGGCACAGAATCTGAAGTCAAGATTAAAGGCTTACTGCTCTGAAAATCTGCAGTAAGATGTGTGTGCGTAATGGGCCTCAATCAAGCAATCCCCCATTCAAAGCGGGATGGGCCAGATGTATATTTCTGTATACAATAATCCAGGGCTCTCCAATGCTGTGCCCGTGGGCACCATGGTGCCTGCTGACACCTTTCCTGCTGCCCACCAAGTGTTTTTAAACAGTGGGTGGGGCCAAGTGTGGCACTTGCCCAGTAGGGCTTCCGGTCAGCTGCTGGAGATCCGATTGGCTGGGCAGGTTAAAATATCACTGTTTCAGTGGCAACGGCCACCACAGTGCTGTAAAACCAGCTGTAAAACCAATAAAACTTCTTTCTCGCTCAGCTTTCCCAGTGTATTCTTAAAATTACCCTCTTTCCTCCTTACGCTTGGGCTTCCACTCTGTATGTGTGGCTCCACCTCCTGCAGCAGCCATTTTGTGGCTGGCTCCGCCTCTTGCAGCAGCCATTTTGTGGCTGTGCCTCCCACCCTGTGTCAGAGTCCCGAAAGTGCCCACGAGCTCCACAAAGCTGAGGACGCCTGCAATAATCTATTCAGAAAGCTTCGTACTTAATGGCCACACCGTTTCTTTCCTGCCGAGGAGGTGCATCATACCGGTGTTTGCGGAACCAAATAGAATCACAGGCCTGTTCTGCTCAGTTTCAAAGGATTTTTCGCACAGTGTGCAAATGGCTGTCTATGAGCTCAATTCAAACGTGGCACTGAATTTTTTTTGCTGTGTGTCTTTTTTTTTTTAAGGTATCCTCAGGAAGAAAGCCACCACGCGCCATGGTTCTGCCTCAGACCAGAGCAGTGACGAGACGCCTATCTTCCAGGTGCTTTCCCATCACCAGCAAGATGGAAAGGAGGCCCAACGTGGATATAGGAGTGGAGAGACTCCCACGCTTTCTTGCCATGGCTTTGGGAAGCACGACGCCTCGTAGCAGTGACCTCAATAGGCACGGACGACTTTGCTTGTAACAAGCCGATCGCAAAATGTCTACAGAACTCTTTCAGGAGCTAATTTATTTCCTTTTGAATTTGCAGGTTTTAAGAAAAGTCTTTTTTTAAAAAAATAGCTTTCCATTTCCTAAGAGAGTTGGCTTTCTTCTCGGACTAACTTCGTTTCTTTGAGGAGAAGACCCCAAACCCACAAGGCCTTAAACTTTTTCAAAGTGAGCCGCTTCCTGCTCTATATTCCAGCCAGGGCTAAGTTTCTAAAAGCAGCATAGCTGGAGAGCTTACTCAAAATATTACTTCGGAAGGCTGATTCCCCCTTCTCCATGAGGGTGAGGGCTGGTCCTGGTTACTTGGGCGAACGGAAGTGTATTCTGCACATGCTCAGGAACACAGCCTTTCAGAATTATCATTTCATATTCCAGGGCTGGTATTAAAAAGAGGGTCCATACTAGGCTCAGTCCTTGCTTGAGTCTGGGCATGATGTTCAAACGGTAGCCATGTTGGTCTTCAGTTGGACAGGTAGATTCAAGTCCAGCAGCACCATAGAGACCAATAAGATTTTGGGGGGACTGACTCTCGAAAACTGGTACCCCAAAAAGCTTGTTGGTCTCTAACGTAGTACAGGACTCAAATCTATCTGTTCTGGGTTTAATTTTACTCATTTGAAGCCAGTTGGTTAGTTTAATTCCACAGTGGTTTAAAATAAGCAACAACACAGTATGAATGGTGTGGTATTATTAACCATGGTAAGTGTAATTAGGAATTAGGAGCTGCGGTGGCTCAAGTGGTTAAGACGCTGAACTGCAGGCTGTGGAAGGTCAGTAGTTCAGCAGTTCGAGACCCGGGTGCCGCATGACGGAGTGAGCTCCCGTCTCTAGTTCCAGCTCCTGCCAACCTAGCAGTTCGAAAGCAAAGAAATTGCAAGTAGATAAATAGGTACCACTTTGGTGGGAAGGTAACAGCGTTCCGTGCGCCTTGGTGTTTAGTCACGCCGGCCACATGACCACGGAAACGTCTTCAGTCAGCGCTGGCTCTTCAGCTTTGAAATGGAGATGAGCACCACAACCCTAGAGTCGGATTCGACTGGCTTTCAAGCAAGGGAAACCTTTACCTTTAAGTGTAATGAAGGTAGGGTTGCCAACTTCCAGGTGGTTATACAATCCAGAGAGATCCATTGGATCAAGGTATAATAAAAAAAAAAACAAGCACCGTGAAATTATAACTATGGAAAGCTCCGTACTTCAATATTTTCTTATTACAGTGCATATGTCTCTACAACGGCACATATCTTCACCACAATAAATAATTCATTAACACTACCAACAGTCCATTCTAGTGATGAAAGTGCCTGTAGGTGTTCTTTCCTTTGTTCTTTCAAATCCAGTAATTGTGGATGATTTATGGAACATCCATAAATCATCCACAGTTACTGGATTTGAAAGAACAAAGGACATAGGACCGTTTACTGCAGCACAAGCACTTTAATCCTATGCTTCCACGGTTCTTGTATTTTTTGATTATAGCCTCCAGGTGGTGGCTGGAAATCTCCCGCTATTACAACTGATCTCCAGGTGACAGAGATGAATTCCCCTGGAGAGAACGGCCACTTTGGAAGGTAACGTCTATGGCATCATGCCCCAAGGAAGTCCCTCCCATCCCCAAACCCCTGCTTTCTTCAGGATCCACCCCCAAAATCTCCAGGTATTTCCTAACCCGGGGCTGGCAACCCTAAATGACGGGAAATCAGATGGTTTAACTGGTGTAAAGGTCACTTTCTCTCCCTTGAGAACTCTGGGAATTGTAGTTCTGTTAAGAAGTGGTGGTGGTGGTTTGGAGTCCGTAAGGAAGAATTTTCAGCACCCTCGCCAAACCGTAATTCCTAGGATTTCTTGCGGGAAGTTGTGACTTGTAAAAGTAAAATAAAATAAAATAAACGGATTAAAACTTGTTGTTTAGTTACGCCATTTATGAATGCAACAGACTGCAGAGGGGATAAATGGATGCAAGACTGTTTCCCTTACTCTGTCTGACAAGTTGCTTGAAAACTGTGAAAAGACTGAATCACCACCCATCGTGGATCACCTGAAAAAGGGAAATCCTTCCAGTAAATGTAATTTGTTTTTTATCTGAATCTTTCTAAACAAGAAAATCATTAGCCAACTTCTTGCTCCCTTTATTGATTTCGTAAAGTAGCTGTTCAACTACATACAAGGTGAGACGGAGGAATATGGTTATTACCCATATGTATAGCATCCACACCAGGGTAAACTTTAGAGCAGGAGAGGAAAGATTTGATGTTTCTGAGAGCAACTTGATTTCCCCCCCCCCCAAAGTGCCTTGGGAAGCTACCAGTCACAAAATGGTGTCTCATAGGGTGGAGCTAGTCACATAATGGTGTCTCGGTGGGTGGAGCCCATCACAAAATGACAACATGTACAAAAGTCAGAGCATTTCAAAGCAGGTCTGTGGTGCTTGGATGGGGGGAAATTTAGCCATTTTTCTAAAACAACGAAGACTCAGGAGTGACATGATAGAGGTTTACAAGATTATGCATGGGATAGAGCAGGTAGAGACAGAGGTACTTTTCTCCCTTTCTCACAATACAAGAACTCGTGGGCACTCCATGAAATTGCTGAGCAGTTGGGTTAGAACAGATAAAAGGAAGTACTTCTTCACTCAAAGAGTGATTAACACATAGAATTCACTGCCACAGGAGGTGGCGGTGGCTACAAGCATGGACGGCTTCAAGAGGGAATTAGATAAACATACGGAGCAGAGGTCCATCAGTGGCTATTAGCCACAAGGTGTAGACAGGAACTCTCAGTCTGGGGCAAGTGATGCACTGTATTCTTGGTCCTGTAGGGGGCAACAGTGGGAGAGCTTCTAGTGTCCTGGCCCCACTGGTAAACCTCCTGATGGCACCTGGTATTTTTGGCCACTGTGTGACAGTGTTGGACTAGATGGACCATTGGCCTGATCCAACATTGGCTTCTCTTATGTTCTTATGTTCCTATTTTAACTTGCCTTGCAGAGGAGAAATACAAAGTTATATCTGTGTTTTCCCTGGAAGAGGAACATAGCTGCTTTGATGCTGGGTACGAAAGAGGCAATAACACTCTCCTTTCCTACCTAGAGCAATGGTGTGTGTTTGTGCATGTGAAGAAGGAGAGGTGAATTGGGTGTTAGTGCTGTCATTTACTGGTTTTCCCATCCAGAGCTGTCAGGTTTCACCTGGAATCAACGGAGTCACTTTCCATAGAAAAGGTTACTTTATTGAAGCCATGGATCACTGAACAGGTCTCTGATTGGAATAACATAATGCGGAAGCCCAAGCAACATAAAGGGAAATCATAATCACTTTTAACCAATGATCATTATTCCCGCCCTGTCATCCAGAGCAGTTTTGCGCGCTCATTTCATGAGAAAGCAACGGCCCCTGCTATCAGCAGCTAGCAGTTCACAGTTCTTACTAATTAAAACAAGCTAAAAACTCCTTATCTCACACCTGTTGCCCTTGAGAAGAAAGCGGTTCCCTAACAAGCATAGTCATTTCATATATCACGCATGCGCCAGCATTTCTACATAATTAGCAAGCAGTAACACATAGGAACAGTTTGCACAATACATTGGGGGGGGGTCTGGATATAGGGGATTCATGTATACACTGAATGACATTCATTGGCAGCTAGCTGACAGAGCGAAGGTGAGAATGTGCATGTGTCTCCTCCTCCTTTGCATAAAAGAGAAAGGAGGGAGAGAAGCTGGTGCAGCAGCTTTTAAAAGGAGAAGAACGTGATTCCAGCAGCGCTGGAGGAGGGACGGAGAGCTACTTTTACCTGGCTTGGAGAGGGACTGGTCACTCCCGAGTGACTTTCTGCCCACCCCTGCTAACGCTAAAGAGAGAAAAAGAAGTTCAGTTCTCCTTTGTGGATTCTTGGGGTGGGGCTAGAATGGCATTGGCCTAGGTTGTTCCTGTGGATTTTGCAGCAGTTGAAGCTATATCATTCAATCAATCTTTATTGCATTAGTCAAATAAGCCCTAGCAACAATACAAAGTAAAACACAAATGTCCAACAAGGTAAAATTTGAAACATAATTAAAAATGTACCATTTTTACAGGAAGTATTACCCTACAAGTTCGTCGTGTGCAATAAAAAGGGAACGCCATGCAGTCCAGCGACAAATTACAAATGTCAAGTGACAAGAGTGGAGTTCTCCTTTATGATGGCAGCAGCCCATCTTGCCATTTGAAAAGTAATAAATTTATCCCTGTCTGCCAATAACGTGACTAGTTTCTCCTGATCCGACCTTCCTGGGAAGCAGGATATTATGGTCTGCAAAAATCTATTACATTCAGTCTCATATCTTGGATACTGGAATGTGACACGGGGCAATAGCTGGAGCTACAGAAACCAGCAGCTAGATACCCCTCCACACGCACACACAGCATGGAAATAAGCACTGTCACTAATATCTGCAACAATTGTTCAAGGCACAGGAGCAGGGGATGGAGAAAAACTTGGCAACCCTACCCCGACATTTAAAATCACGTGACTCGTCAGGAGCCTCAGTATCTCAGACTGATGCTCTACCTCTACAAACCAAAGAACGAGCATTATATAAGAATGATATGGCTCCTAAATGAGCATTTCAAATGCACAAATCCCTTTTCTCAGAAGGGTTCATGTATATTATACTGTGTTAAACACTGGCCCTTTCTGCGCTCTCCTTTTAATCCATGTTCACCACAGTATCCTCCAAGCAATTCTGCACTAGAATTGAATTCAACCTTCTATTTAATTCAGGTTTTTCCCCCATCCTGCTTTACATTCCCTCCCTTCAGTGAATTGAGTTCAACCTTCTTTTTCTTCTGGATTCTTTTCCCCATTCTGCATGACATTCCCTCCCTTCAGTGGTCAGCCCGGTTTCAGCCTGCTGTTGCCCCGGGTTATTTGGATGCTGTTTTGCCGTGAACTTAAATTGCCTCGACTCAGGTCCTTTCCGCACTTGGATCTATCTCATCCCTGTTTTTTTATCAGAGTTCAACTCGCGACACAATACCTTGCATTTATCCCTGGTTAAAGCAGCATCCATTTATCCTGGGACAAGTGTGGGGCGAAACCGGGGTGACCTCAGTGTAATGTGGAAACAAAAAATACCCTGAAATAATTACAGGGGTGTAGTGTAGAATGCAGGGGTCCTTTCCTGTAGGAGCGCATAGGAGCGGCGCTCCGGCAGTAAGGAGCTCAGGGGGCGGGCACATGCAACAAGCCCCACCCCCTGCTCCCAGCAGCCCTCAGTCGGGCCACGAGGAGCAAGCAGCAGCAAGGTAAGTTGCAGAGGCCCCCCCAGCCCACCTTCAGGTACAAGCTCTCCCTCCTCTGCGAGGGCAAATCTGCGCATTCCGCCCCCCAATAGCTAGCAATCCAAAACAGT